TCCTCCTTTAAGATAGACTGTTTCCGGTGAGTTTGTTATTTAAAAAACAACCAACCAAACAAAAACTGACCAACACAAACAGCTGAATCAATTTGTCCTGTTTTCTAGAGGCTCTCCTGCTAAATCTGGACTTGGGATGTTTTACGAAGGATGGCTCTTTGTTTCTTTGCTATAGCTTTGTCTTTGTAATGTTCTTTCGTCTTTCTCAGAGGTTAATAGAAGTGGGGCGGACGTAAGATGGATAGTGAGCATGATGGTTAAGAATACCAATGTCCTAATCAGAGTTTCTGTGGCCATGATGAAACACCAAGACCAAAGCAACTTAGGGAGGAAAGCGTTCCTTTGCCTTACACTTGCATATCACTGCTCATCACCAAAGGAAGTCAGGACAGGAACTCAAACAGGGCAGGAACTTGGAGGCAGGAGCTGATGGAGAGGCTGTGGAGGGGTGCTTCTTACTGGCTCGCTCCACATGATTTGCTCAGCCTTTTTTTTTTTTTAGAATCCAGGACCACCAGCCCAGGGATAGCATCAGTCACCATGGGCCGGGCCCTCCACCATCTATCACTAATTAAGAAAATGCCTTACATGCTTGGCTGCAGCCACATCTTCTGAGAATATGCAGACATTTTCCCAACTGAGGTTCCCCTTCTCTTAAAACCGTGTGTCAAGTTGACGTAAGAGTAGCCAGCACAACCAGTTTCAGTGCTTGTTTTCCACACTCTCATTCCCCACGCACACCATGTGTTAGACTAGAAGGCCGTGAGCACGATCAGTGATCAGACCTTAGGACATACTGCAATTCGAGTCAACTGTCTGTAGATGCTAGGCTGTAGCCAACATGATTCTTTAACTTTCCCTTCTCATCCTTTAGCAATTTATCAATGAGTATGTAAAACTAATTATTTAAATGGGAGTTGGTTGCTTCAGACTTTGATATATTTTTCCTTCAGATCTCAACAGTGGTAACTTGGAATTTTCTTGAAGTTCTTTTTATTCTTTTTCATTTTCTCTGTTTTCCAACAAGGCAGAGATCCCTTCATTCCTAGATAAGCTGCAGATAATGTGATGTCTCTGATTAGACACCACCCACCCCTCCGTAGAGCCTGAGTGAGACCCAGGCTCCATGTGATTACAGGCCTGCCTGTCCCTGGCGCCTGTGCTCTATCACCCTGCCCCCACCTCTCTGCTTCCTGCAGTGTCTTGGGAACACTTCAAATCACATCTGCCAGCTTGCCACCTATCTTTAGATTTCCAACAGACTCCTTCCTGCTGCCAAGACTCAGATAAGCCGTTCACAAACTCTTTTAAAAATAGAGATCATCTATGGTTATCACTTTTGACTCTAAGAGATGTTCTGAAAATGAATATATTTTGCCTGTCTTTCCTAATGACTAAAAACAAACAAACAACAACAAACCTGATCCCTTTCTTCTCTTTTCTGCTCTAGAAGTCAAGGAGCATGCATCTCACTCAAGGATATAAATGGTACCCTGGAGCAGAACCATGTTCTCCAGCTCTCTTCTGCCCCTCCATCTCCTTGGCACCTTGTTCTCTTCCTGTCACTGGAATGAGGAGATGAAGGCTGGATGAGTTTTCAGGCTTTGCTTGTTTTGGAAGGCTGTGAAAAAGGGGTGATGGCCCATCTTTGACGTGGCCTCCCGATAAGGGGCCAGAAAGAGTCCTTGAGGCTTTTATGTAGCTTAAGTGTGTTTTATCAGAGTGAGACAAACCAGCACACAGTCAAGAGAGCTTTTGCCTGAAATGCTCAGTGCGATTTGAGCATGGCAGCTGGCTGGGAAACGGGGCTTAGGATGCAAACCATATGTCTTCAGAGATGCTTTAAAAACATATTCCACTTCCTGGACGTTATGTCATGGTTGGTTTGCTTGCTATAAAAGACTCATTCTGTCCTATAATTTTATACTTTCTATTTTGAATTTTTAATTTCTATTATAAAATGGAAAGGCAAGCTTGCCATAATTCCAATAGTGCCCTGCCTGTGCTGCTGAGAATAATTGTCTGATTTGCTATGCTGGCCTTGCTGTAAATCCTTAGAGCAACAAAGACTGACTTTTTTTTTTTAATCTTTTCATTAGTTCTCATTACCTACTTTGTTTCCTGTTTTTAAATTACAAATGTAAAATTTTTACCTTATTCCAAATTTCTCTCAAAATTAGACTTTGATTTTTTTCTTTTTTTTTTTTTTTTTTTTTGCAGTGTATGTTTAATCTGCCTCCATTACATTCGATTCCTTGATCCTTTGATTACCTCTTTGATTCTTTAGTTGACCAGATGTTACTTTTGTGGAGGAGGTTATTGTGCACTGTGTTTTCAGATCCTGATTTCAGTGCCTTGAGATCTGGTTACTGCTCTGCCATGGGCATTGTTATATATGTTGAAGCATCTCCTTTATCCAAGTGATGTAAGGAATGTTCCCTAATTATCCCTGATTGGTTAATAAAGTTGCTGACAGTCTGGGCTGGGCAGAAGGAAGGTAAGTGGAGTGAAGGTTCTCAGTTTGGGGACTCAGGAGGACCATGAGAAAAGGAGAAGGAAGACTGAGAAGGAAAGAGACAGGAGGTCACCATGGGGTAACAGGAGCACATGTCAAAGAGCAGCTTGCTCTGAGGACTGGACTGATGGAGCAGAAGCAGGCCAAATGGAATATGTGCAAATATTTGGGATTTTGGATGGGAAGCAGATGACATAGCTTAGAGGGTTGATATCTGTGCAGCTCAAGTGCTCTAAGGCTTATTATAAATCTAACAAATTTTGTGTCTTTTATTTGTAAGATTGCTGGTTAATGAGTAATTGCTACTGCAATAATTTCCTGTAATAATATATACAGGATGACTAATTCATTTTACATTATATATGAAATTATTTGGTGTTCAAGATAATCATTCAATATGCACACCTATATGTTTCTCATAGAAGATCCATAGTTTAAATTTTTTTCACCTTTAACTTTTCAAAGTTAGGAGTCCTTCTGGAAATAAAGAAAAACAAAAGCAAAATATAATAGTACTATCCAATTAATTTCCTACAATGGTAGAAATGTTTTATACTTATGCTGCCCAATATAATAAGCACTGGCTTTGTGTCAATGGAGAATTTGGATGGTGGCCAATGAAACTGAAGAATTAAACTTTTATTTTCAATTAAATTGGTTGTATTTGCCCACTATGGCAGGAGATACTGAAGAGACAGAGGCAGGAGGATCTTGAGTTCAAGGCCAAGCTGAAGTTACACCTTTAGGACAGAAGAGATGACTCAGTGGATATAACACTTGTGTTATGCCCAAGTCTCGAAGATCCCAAAGACCACCAGGGAGCTGACTCTGATGCAAACGCAGTAGGGTCTTTATTTCAAGTTCTTGAGTGTAGAGCCCTGAGCTCAGGGAGAAAGAGGTTTTTATTTAGGGTTATAGCATGGTTTGGAAAATTCTGAATGTGATTGGGTGACATTCAGCAAGGGCAAGCTTTTTACAAAGTGATTGGCTAGCTAACATAACTAACATTGAGTGAGCTATCTGTAGACCTCAGGAATGTTAGGTATTTCTGTGCCATGAATGTTCTACTACAAGGTCAGTGGGCTGCCAAGCACAGATGCCCCACCCTGAGATAAAATACCTTCCCATTCTTGTGGTCACCTACAGGCTATTCCTTGGGTAGGGGATTTTATGGTCTTGTTCCTGGAATTGGTGACCTATCGCCTAGTTCCTTGGACTGGTGACTTTCTTTTTTCTTTTTTCTTTTTTTTTTCTTTTTTTCTTTTTTTTGGCGGGGGCCAGGCCTGGTCTTCTTACTTGTTGTCAAGCATGATGATCTGAGTTCAACCCCTGACATTCACACAGTAGAGAACTTTAGGTTTCCACTTGTGCCATGCTGTGGCATACATAACCCACATTACACAAAGACAAATAAATAATTAACTAAAATATATATTAAAGTACTGGGAAATAGTCATATAGCTTATTGGGCAGCATTGACTAGAACATACTTTCTGCATTAGGATTTAGTGCATGCTTTCTATTTCCTCTTTCACTTTTAAATGACATAAAAACAAAATATTAACAGTTCAATACCCCACCCCTAGCCTGTGCAGACAGTGAGAGCAACAGTCTGAGGCTGGTTGACATTGAAGGTTCTAGTCTAAAGACAAAGTTCAGGTCTGATGATTCTTTTGTTTCTCTGAATCCCCAGGAACATTCAGCTTCAATTGAACTGTAAAGCATGAATAACTTTATTTCAAAGACGAGTGATACAATAATGGTTTCAATTTTTGTTGCAAACCACCCTATGTTTCACTCCTGTGCAGGAAGCTGTGGAAGGAACATGAGTGTAGCCCTAGAAGATTGCTGTTCTATTGACACCTCCCCCATCTAGTTTTGTGGCTTTGGCTAGCTTACTCTCTTACCTAGGTCTCAGTTTCCTTATCCAGAGCATGGAGATAATGATCTTTGTTCCACATAAATTTAATATCAAAATATCAAATGCTAAATAAGTACAGACCATCATCTTTCTAGTTATGTTAAATAAATCACTCTCACTGTAAGGTTTTTAAGTTCATGACTTGGATTTTATTGGTTGCTTCTCAAGCTGTCTGTGGGAACAACCAGGCTTTTAAAATTTCAAGTAGTATTAGAAGAATATAATAAACATAAATACTAGGAAAAAATAATTTTTTTTTTTTTTTTTTTTTAGATTTAGCATATGCAAGATTTTTGTCATATTGCTGAAAGTGTTTCCTGAACCACAGAGCACTAACAGTTTGTGGATTAGTCATCCCCAGAATGTACTTTGGGCAGCACCTTTCTAAGCCATGTGACCGCACAGTTAAGAACATGTTTTATGAGAAGGCAGCGCTTCACTCTCAGGTCAAAATGGCCTGCAGACCTGCTGTTACAGGGTCAAGCACGTGGCTGGATGGTTTTCAAAAAACGGTACTATAATGCTGCAGGAGTCAATAAACTGGGGTTAATGTGAGATGATACAATGTACGGAACTGAAGATGTAAAGGAAGCCATAAGAAGGCTTCCTGAGGACCTTTATAATGATAGAATGTTTCACATTAAGAGAGCCCTGGACCTGACAATGAGACATCAGATCTCGCCTAAGGAGCAGTGGACAAAATATGAGGAGGACAAATTCTACCTTGAACCCTATCTGAAACAGGCTATTTGGGAAAAGAGAGAAGAATAGGCGAAGAAGCGATCTTGCTGTTGAGATCTGTGGGTGTGCCTGGTCTCAGCATATTTTAACGACATATTTCAACCTGAATCACAATTTAAGAATTATTGGCCCTGCAGATGCCTGACTTTAAATAAATGTCTATTGTAAACATTAAAAACAAAACAACCAAAAAAGAACATGTTTATAGTACTCACACCAACTCATCCGTGTATTTATATATTTATGTTTAGCTATACCATTAATTATTAGTGTAAATGAAAGAAATATAGATGAGTTAATAGTTTCATCATTTCTTTAAAAATCAACTTTTTCTGAGCCTAGAGTTCATTTTTTTCTCTCTCACTCTGTCTTTTTCTCACATACATTTTTGGTTTGTATTTCAGTGATGCTAAGGATTGAACCCACGTGAGCCCAGGATTTTCCCCCCTAGTTCTGGGGATTGAATCCAGAACCTCATGCATATTACAGATGAGCTGCCCTGCAGAATAGGCCCCAGGATCATAGACTCTTAATGATTTGTGTGGAATCTGTCACTGAAGTAGAGAATACAGATCCCTATGAAAAATGAAGAGCTGAAAAATCTGTAGAACTGTGGGAAATAGGGATGCTAGAATAGCCTACCTGCTTACTGCTCTTCTTAAACACACGCTCGCATGATATCCAGAAACTTGTTTGTTTATGCAGATTTTAATGCTCTGTGTTAATAAGTTGAGAAAATCACTTGCATAACAGCACTTAACACAGCTTCTGTTGGTATTTTAAAATCCAGCTTTTACCAGAATTTTATACTTCTTATAAATAAATGTAAATAAATGTTTTCATGATTAAAATTCACAGGTGCTTGAAAAGCTTACGTTTCCACAGACTACAATACAACAAGATAAGCAGATGTAATTTTCCCCAGCTTATCGATTTTTTTTTTTGTTTAAAACTCAACACTGATGAAAAACTATATAAATCTTGCTTTTTAATCAACTTTTATGAATTGGATCCCAAGAGAAAATGATGCATGTGTTTGAGGGAGGTTTTTTCCCTTCTATCAATAAGTCTATCAACATGGCTAGATATATTTTCTTAGCTCTGTGCTTCAGTGTCATTTCTATTGCTGTAATAAAACATGATGACCAAAAGCAAGTTGGAGAGAAAGGGTTTATCTTAGTTTATAGGTTATAATCCATCATCGAAGGAGACCAAGTCAGGAACTCAAGGTGGGAATCTGGACTCAGAAACTGAAACAGACGCCATGGAGCAAAGCTGCAATCTGGCTTGCTCCTCATGGCTTGCTCAACCTGTGTTTTATATAACCCAGGATCAGCTGCCCAGGGTCGGAATAGTCTACACTATGCTGGACCTCATATTAATCATTGATCAATCAAGTGCTCCACAGACTTACCTATAGGCTAATCTGATGGAGGCATTTTCTCAGTTGAAGTTCCCTTTTCCCAAATGATCCCAGCTTGTGGCAAACTGATGGAAAAGCAACCAGTATGCTCCTCCTCATGCAGGCCTCCTTGAATTTAGACTTTTTAAACGACTGAATCTCAAAAAAGACATAAAGCCAAGGGCAGACTGGCTAGTGTCTTTTGTGCAGGTTGATCTTTTTAAGTTTACTGCAAAGGCAAACTTCAGAGCTCATTAAGCTCATTAAATCTAGCTCATTCAGGAGCTAGACTTTAGTTTTAGTATTATAGTGTTTTAAATAACTGTCAGCCATCATTTGGAAAATGCAATGCCTGCTTTGCTGGTTTCTTACAATGTATTTGTTAAATAGTGAATCTAAATGACAAATGTACTATATGGCAACTGTTGCCACCCATCCTGTAAACATTTTCATCTGTTTACTTAGGTCATTCTGCATATTTACTAAAGATGCTCAAAGGAAATTTGTTCATTTATATTATGACATTTCAAATCCACAAAAAGTACAGAGAATAATATAATGAAAATCCTCATATTCACAACCCAGATTTATGAAATTCCAACATTTTGACAAATTTATGTTCATTTTTTTAAACATCACAATTGAAGCTTTCTGTGTATCCTTTCTTGCCTCTTTTCCTTTTTCTAATTTATAGTTTTACTCTTGTGGCAGAGGGTGGTACAGGACTGTCCTCAGAGCCAAACTCCCACCATCTTCAGGAGTCCATGTCAGCCTGCTCGCCCAAGATCGGCAGAGCTGGGCTTGTTGACTGTTGACATTCCCTCTTGGAAGGAGAGAGTGGAGTTGGTCATAGGAGCCTCACCCGATTATCCAGCCCCCATTCCCAGCCAGTTGTATGCAATTTTAACCTAATTGCACATGGCCTTGGGGTCTCTGGGAGGAGCTAGAGTATATATGGATGGGAAGGATGAGAGGAAGTAGGTTCCATTTATGCAACCACAGGAAAGCCACTCTCTCTGCAGGATGAAGACTTTCCAGAAGGGCTATTTTAAGGTCACTCACCATTCTGCCCATCACCCACTGTTCTGCACATAAGCCTAATAAACTCATTGGTTCCCCAATGTGAACTTTGGTGTAGTGAATTTAGGTGGAATTATACCTCCGTTTGTCACTGAGATCTTGGGGGTGGGGTAGACACAGCATTTTAGCAACACGGAGGTAGCCAGCGGAGCCCCAGAACCTTTATGTGCCTCCAGTTCATTCCGCCTAAGCATGTGACCACATGAGTTAGTCACATCTCTCATTTTCCCATGCAGCAAGGCATGACTAAATCTGGGACAGTCGTAGTGAGTTGAAATGAGGTAACCTTTTTAAATATGCTTGCGCTGGAATTCTTTCTGTCCTGACTGGCTGGAAATGTAAGACCATTCTTGGATTACCTCATGAAACAAGTAAGTCTGTCTGCCCTGAAATGTTGGGGAGAGAAAAAAAAAATCCTTGGTCTCTTTAAAGAAACTTAGCTTATAGATGTTCATGTATCTCTGAAGTGATGTGTCTATGGATTTATATTGCATAGCCACGTACCATATAATAGTATTTGGTTAACAATGGCTCACATCACATATATATCACATAAAGGTGTCTCATAAGTATATAATTGTGCTGACAGTTTCCTCTTGCCTAATGGATGTCTAGCTGAACAAAAGCCAAGAGAAAAATAATCACCAAAAGAAGACAAACTTTTTGGGAAATTTACTGAAAAAAAAAAAAATCAGAAGAAGCTTCTTCAGATCCCTAAACAAAGGCCTTAAAAAGTCTGGAAACACTGACTAAGGCAAGCGAAAGATTCCACTAACAGGAACTGGGTACCCGTGGATCGCAGTCCACCCACAAGCAAATCCATGGCTAGAAGTAGAACAAAGCAAGCAGACCACTATGGACAGACTTGTTCTTGGGGAGAGTTTGAGCTCATCCTTCAGGAAAGGCCCAGAAGAAGAAGCTGCTGCCCTAGAAGACAGCCCTGTGTGTGAGAGAGAGGCCAGAGAGCTTCCTGTGGGATGGGATGCCATGTGGAGGGAGGGGACTGTGCTACTGCTCATCACCGTCTTGTGCAGTCCTAGGCCACGATGTGTATGCATCTTAATTATCTGAAGGATAATTAAAATCTGCCTTAAATACATAAAATAAAAGAATATCTTTGTAGAGTTATGCAATGTGTTATGTTATAAAATATCGTTACAACAGAATGAATAAGTTAAGAAATTAAAAGTTTTAAAGTTAAGTTAAATGTAATTGATTGTTAGGGACAATTGTTTTTTTTTAACATAAATTTAGTATATGAGGGTTGAGGGTGCGGTATTTACATATTCTATAGTAAAGTTTGGGACCTCAGCCTTCCGAGCCACTTACTCACCACTTACTCATGGAATTGCCCAGAGTGGCTTCTAGTCCTGTAAGCCCTACCTGTGTAAACTGTGTAAAACAGTGCACCACAGAAAACAGGGGCTCTGCACACATGGACTCTACAAACGAACAGTTTCCAGAGAGAATGCACACCGCAGCAAGAATGGGCTGAAGCCCTGACTCTAAAGGAGAACGTAACCTCCCAGGAGCAGACTTCCCCGTCTCAGGGCTCATTATATATGCACATTTTTTTGGCTTTTGTCTCATCTTTTCTCTAAGTTGCTATAGGAAAGGCAGAGAGAAACTAGGAACTTTTCTCTGCCTGACCACACTGTAATTACACACGTTTCCCTCTGCCAGTCCCTCCCTCTACGTTTTCTCTTGGTAACAAGATGGGTTTCAGATTCTGGATCCCCATGACAGATGTACATTTTTTAAAAATCCTTCATAACATAACATATTCTCCTTCAACATTTTTGTTTAGATATGTTCAGATATATAAATACTATGTATGTTTATGTAGCATGTTTACATGCTATAACTGAACTACATTGATTAGCACAGTACTATGCTGTGCAGGCTGCTGTTTAGGAGCAGTGACCTGGCCTGTGTGAGTGGGGGACTGTACCATTCAGGCGTCTGTGACTGTGCTACAATGTTCCTACAATGTGGGTTTACTATTTCTGCGATGAAATGCTATGACCAAACGCAAGTTGGAGAGGTAAGAGTTTGTCTTACAGTTTCGCATTACAGTCTATCATTGTAGGAAGTAAGGACAAAAATTCAAATAGGGCAGGAACCCGGAGGCGGGAGATGATTCAGAGGCCGTGGAGGAGTGTTGCTTACTGGCTTGCTCCTCTCGGTTTGCTCAGCTAGTTTTCTTACAGAACCCAAGATCACCAGCCCAGGGTGACATCACCCACTATCAACAAATTAGTGATTGGTCACGATTAGTTAGTGATTGATCCCATCAATCACTAATTAAGAAAATGCCCTGCAGCCAGGTCTTATAAAGGTACCTTCCTAATTGAGGTTCCTACCTTTTAGGTAAGTCTAGCTTGTTCCACGTTGACACAAAACCAGCCCTACTTTCATGTTTATTTTACTGTGCAGGTCTTCTGTAGACAGCCACCGTGGCTGTGTGTTCATGATTGCAACAGCCCTATCATATCCAGAGGGTAGCATTTCAAAGTACTCACATTGTGAGTGAATGGACTATTTTTAT